AAATATTAGGGGAGGGGGTAGAGGATGAAAAAAGGGAGAGGGAAGGAGGATGAAAAAATAGGTAGGGGAAAGGAGGATGAAAAAATAGGTAGGGGAAAGGAGGATGAAAAAAAAATAGAGAGAGGGATGGAAAATGAAAAAAAAATGGGGGGAGGGGGGTGGAAGTTGAAAAAATAGGGGGGTTGGTGAATGGAGGATGAAGAAAATGGATTGGGAGGGGGGATGAAAGAATATATGCAAAGAACATTAAGCTTTTTTCAACGTCTAAATTTTGCATTTTGAAAAAAAAAAACCATTTCTATGTATGCAACAAATACAACCCATTAAGAAAAAGAAACTGTCAAAAAGAAAGAATTTTTTAAAAATAAATAAAAGGAAGTAATTTTGAATAAAAAATTTGGGCCTTAATACATCTGGACATCTGGCTGGCGATATGCATTCGGCACTGTCTGATATTATGGTGGTGTGGTGCTCATGAAGAGTGTCTCTCGACCTATCTTTTATGCAATATTCCAGACATTTTCTTGATTTATAGCCTTTAAAATCGAAATTTAAATACCCGATACAGTCGTTTTCATTTGATAGCTGAAGGCCTGTGCTAAGAAGAGGGTGTAACAATGCTTGACAGTACATGCTCGCTGCTTAAGAAAGACTGAGAAATTATCGGGGGCTCTCGTGGTCTAGAGGTTACGGTATTCTGGGTGGGGTGTTCACCTCTCGTTCAATAGGTCACGGGTTCGAAACCCAACAGCGACAGAAAATAAAATGTTCTTCTCTAAAATGCTTCCTTTCACCCGCCCCCTTTCCTGCTCTCTACCCATGTTCTGTCTTCTGCTTTCACCTTCACTTTCTGTAGGTGTGCCGTTTGAACTATGAAAGTCACCAACTTTTGCTGCCATCTTCTCCGTATAGATTCTATCTATCTCTGGCACCATGTGACCCCCGACCTCCGACAATCGCCACTATCGCTATTTCTATTCAAGATTGATGGGTATTCTTTAAACGAAATCAAGTTCGTCGTATGTGAGCCTAGAAAGAGACAGACAGTCACATGGAGAGAGTGAGAGAAACAAGAGAGAGAGAGAGAGAGAGAGAGAGAGAGAGAGCGAGAGAGAGAGAGAGAGGGGGGGTGAGAAAGAAAGAGAGCGAGAGAGCGAGAGAGCGAGAGAAAGAAAAAGAGAAACTGATTTAGAGAGAGAGAAAGAGAGAAAGAGAGA